TAGACAAGGGCATTTCATCTTGAGGACAGTTTTGTGCGTCACAGCTCTTATCATCTCAAATATTAACAGCACCAACACTGAAACACTAAAGTGACAATGTGACCGACAAAAATGTTTGGAGTAACTTTCAAATTTGGGAAGGTGACATCCAGAATGGAACTTAGCCGTCTCTGATATTCATGTGACATCCAGATTTTTGTGCTTCATAGGCCTTCACAGTTAAAATGCTTAATTTGACACGTTCATTATGTACTTCGACAGTAAATGAAAGAAAAACCATGTTTTCTGTCAATGTAGAGTAGAAAAGATTAATACTGTTAGAAAGTAGTCTGATATGAAGAAGTACAGTAGTTTGGCTTTGGGGCATATTTGACTGATGCCTGAAGTCTCACCCCACACGTTTTTAAAGGAAGTTTCCAGTGGCGAGGTTTGAAAACACAAAGGGTTAAACTTCTCTCTTAGTAGAGGCTTTATTTCTAAAAGCCATTTTTACTAGTAACACTGTTCAGGAAACTCAAGGGGGGGGGCACAACAAGGGAAAGACTTTTAGTTTTGACAAAATAAATATTTATTTTTTTCAAACGTCACTGTCACTTGATTTAACCACCTGACAATAACAGACAACATTTCAGACACAAACTGTCAAACACACAAGTAAAATCATTGCTCCGAGACAAACACGCAACATCCTCACTGCTCTTCAATTGTGAAGAAAAAACTCTTGACAAAACATCTGTCATGTCAGCTGCTGCCTTCAGTCTGATGACTGGTAAACATTTACATGTCACGTGCTGAAATATTGTTTGATTCCAACCTGCTGCCCATCAACCAGGCTTTGATTGATTATGTTGGAGCAAGAGATGCAGAGGACAAGCAGACGAACTCTGTCAGAATCAGAGCCACAGGTATTTGGCTGCTAAATGGGATCTACAGTTGTCTGTTCACATAATAAAACGGCTAGATCAGAACTGGCCAAATGTTCTATCACATTAAGCAGCCAGAGGCCATACTGAGCAGCAGTCTCACCCACCTAATGTCAGAGTGGCCCCGTTTTCACTGAGCTTTGTGTGGAGAAAAGCTTTGAATGAGGAATTGTGCAATGTGATATCGGTAAAAATACAATACAATCTCCAGTTCTATTAAATACAACCGCACATTTATTTTCTGTTTTGTTCAATTCATGTTGCAAAAAACAGCAATTATCAACATGACTGCTCTGCTCAAGTCGATAAACTCAGTCAGTTTTATTAATTACGGTCTTGAATATTGATATTAAATGCTGTTATATTTCTAGTTTAGTCCACAGCTCAACAAAAATGGATGATTTCCCCATTTTC